GCAAGGACCTGAATCTTACGCGCGACACTCCGCCTCACAATGGTGAACATTTGTGCCAAGTAATATTGAAATCCCTCTATACATGTGGAAGTTTTGCTCCGGACAAGCATTTTGCAATGAGCTCTAAGTGTGACCTTGACCTTTGACCTAGAGACCTGGTTCATGTGCGCGACACTGCTCCTCATAGTGGTGAACATTTCTTTGAAGTTTCATTAAAATACCTCCATACATGTAGGAGATATGCTCCGGACAAAATTGGACGCCGCCCGCCCGCCCGACAGCCAGGGGCGTTTCCATAATACGTCCCGTTTTTCAAACGGGCGTTTAAAAAAGCCCTTCTAATAGTAAAGTTTTAGTTAAGAAATATATCCATACTGTAACTCATAAACGACACGGTAAATTTTATTTAAATTTTGCTTAAAGGTGACCTTTAAGACAATAAACTGTTTTACGTTGTAAATTTAACAGTTCCTTATAGTGCCCATTACCCATGGTCAACCCTAAGCACAAAATACTGTATGACAGTATACATGACATGACACTTGATTTATTATTTCTTTACTTTTCAGTAATTCAGGATTGTTTCTTACATTTAGTAATAATCTAGCTATTTTTGAGATTCAAAATGATGAAAATCCTTCAAGCCATACAGGATGTATAGAACGGAGCTACATTGCACATTGCCTTGATGAAATGTATATTTGAACAACCATAATCCTTCAAAGGTATAGAATTTACAGAATCTATGGAGACAAGGATGGACGGACGGATGGGAGAAAGTTATTTCAATATTCATGTTACCTCTGCCACATCATATGGCGGGGTTAAATAAAGAAAATATAGATATATTGAAAATATTTTATTATACAAAGTCAGAAATCTGGATATACAAAACATACTATTAATACAGCCAGACAAGACGATTTCACATTTATTGCAAACTTTTAGTATGGGTATAATAATGTATTATAAAATGTAATCATATTATACAGTCAAAAGGCACTGTTTTCTGATATGCATAATACAAAGTTTAATCATACATTTCATATTAAACAAGAATGTATTGCGTAACACTGGATCATCCAACGCATGTTCCTTCCAAAAATGAAAAACATCATCAATAATAAAAGCACTATAAACAAATATATATAATTATATTTCTGACCCCACAAATCCCTAATTCAATCCAAAGGAAAAGACCATACAAATTATCTTCCTAGTAAATATGAAAGACATAAATTATGCCAAAGAAGGCTTTATGGGCGAAAGTGTGAAAAACTATTTTAGCACCGCTGACCATGACCTATCAAAGGTATTCATCTGCCAAATATGAAATATATCATTAAGGAGAAAGTGAAGGTGAATGCAACTTGCTGAAATAGGTTAACTAACTATACCATGCCCTATTTTCAAAGTGAATATAAAGGAAATAACTGGAAAAATAGTTGGCACAGCTATATTACTTAGGAATATCATGTTTTTAAATTGTAAGAGACTTTTTACATAGGGATAAGAAACTGAAGAAGGACAATTTCTTTTCCAGATCCACAATCCCTTGAATGAGATTCATTGACCCTTGGAGTTGAACTATTCCGCCATCTTGTTTTATGTAACCAAATGTGTTTCATTTTCACCCATTATCGAGAATTATTAACATCTTAAATTTTCTTGACCTTTAAGCTTTCGTTTACAGTTTGCAACTTTTTTTGGTAATGTTAACAAATTTTAGATAATATCGCAGCATACATTTCTTGTCCAAAACATGGGCTCGGACAATTGCACGGATGTTATGTTGCGTGAAAGATAGTCGCTGATGACATTTATGTACTATGACATCATAGCTTCCACTCCATTTCAATAGAGCTCTGTCGACTTGATAAGCAAGTGTGGAAATCATGATTTGTACAAAAAGAACTTAAGATATATCCAACTTGTCACTTAAGGGTAACAATATCCATTTTCAAAGTCCTGAAAAGGGCATTAACTTGGGAAAAATGGAAGCCATACTTGCCATGATCATGTACTATGTATTGATTACTATTTTTAAACAATTTGTACAGATAGAACATACATCCAACTTGCCTGTTTACGTACAGAAAGACGGGTGATTCAATTATAAGATGCCTGGGACATACAAACATATTCAAATTATGTATTTTGAATATCCCTTCACGGAGAAAAAGTAAATATTAACCAGAGTATAATGTTTGTAACTTTCTTCTGTTGTTTTTAATTGTTTCTTTCATAGTCAATTCATTCTATAGACAAAGGAAATACATGTGCCTTCATGAATCTTCAAGTATAAATTTAATCAATTTACACACACAAGTCTAAAATTTCAAACATAAAAATAGTTCTTACATTAATTTTCTATAACAACGTAATTGCTTAAAATGTTAAGACACTCATTTCTATTGTATATTTTAGCTCGCTATGATTTGTAACATAAATGGTTGGAATCATATATTAAATCCCGACGACAAAGTTCAAGAAATTGCTTAAAAACAAAGTAAAAACATCCTTTTAAACTGAAAATTATAGTTACTTAACATTTTATGTTTAAACTCAAAACGTTAATTATTATACACTTAAACATTACAAAAATCATGAAAACACAACAAACTTATGTGACATACGAGCAAATAGTGGGATTCGATACTATCAAAAGTTATTGTGCATACACTCATGATTTGAATAAGTTGACAAGAATAACAAAAACATAAGTGTTATGTAGAATAAAATGCTCAAAAAATATTGTGAGCTGATTTCTTTCTTGTAAAATGTACAAACTCAAGTACACTCATTTGCACAGATTTTACAATAGTCACTTTAATATTTACTCATAAATGTTTACATTTATATGAGAGTTACATGTACATGTGGTCAATTTTTGACAATAATCATATAAATTCATGCAAATGACAAATACAACTTTAAGTGTATAAAGATATCCTTCATAAAGTACATTTATACACTTATTCTTTCAAAATATATCAGTGATATAAAACTGGTAATTTCACTGTTTGAAACCTTACGTTGTTCCAGTGAAATACCAGCGTGCACAGTACTGGGAACCAACTTAATGACGTGACGTCGTAAATGATGTCACGTTGTATTATTATTTAGATTGCTTTTCATTCAGTATTAGGTTTAATGTCTTTTAAAAACGTTTCTTTGCATATAAAAAAAAGAAACTCACTCGGTGAAATATATTCCGATCTTACACTGAACTAAACAAATATCCTCTATATCATTATAACTTTTGGAAGGATTATCCTTAAACCTGGGTGTCATCTTTATTGAATGACGCAGTTTCTCTGTGTTACTTAATATTTCAAAGTGTTACTATGACTTTTACATCGTTACATAATGGTTCTAGAGCATGTAAGATGTTTTTCTACCTAACGAAAGTAGCCTTAAAGGTATAAACATGTAAATAAAGTAGTATTTTTGACTTCCATAAAAAATAATTGAACGTTGTTACAATTCTATTTGCCAATATCTTAATAAAGAAATATATTTCGGGTAATACAAGGAGGAAACATGCGTATATATTGGGAGGGAACATATTAACAAATTCATACACTGTAGTCTTCCTTTGTTATAAATAAACGTATAAAGATTTTGAAAGTCAATGTGCCATTGACCTTGAACCGAGGTAGCAAAGACCTCATCATCAGTAATATTGGCTCAAAAGATACAGACTGGGCATGTTAGGGCTAACAGACGACAAACAAACAATATATATGTACAGCAAATGTTTACGGGCACATAAAATGTCTCCATTATATCAAAACTTTGTAACAAATGTCTCACAATGTCAATTATACATAAAGTTTATAACAAAATGTAAAGATAACACTCAAGTCTCTGATGTTTTTTTGTACAAATTCATTTCGGTAAGAACAACAGATCACACGTTAAAAAGATGCAATAAATAATTAAAAAAATATTTAAAGTATTCAAACAAACAATCAGTAAAAATCATAGTGATGTTACACAAAAAAGTATTCTGCCATAACAACATTGGCAGCAGTAAATTTTACAGATACAAAAACATGTAACTGAAAACAGAAGACGCACTTCACTCTACATCGATAATGTGGCATCAGACTGTAAATTGTTAAAAGATCGTCACATTAAAATAATTTGTAAAAGAGACAGGAAAAGTAATTAAAAGTGACAAACCACTAAACTATTTTTAAAAAAGAAGAAAAAAGAAAACAATTTAATATTTACCAAATATTAAACCTTTTTTTTACTTACAAAACAAATTGCTTAGATTTTTATGCCATAAATTGATGTAACTTGTATTTTAATATCCAAATCGCTTACACATGAGTGTATTGTACATTGAAAAACTTGCTCAAAATGACATTTATCTTTGTGTAACTGAAAGTACCAAGATGTTTTCATGTAGTAAGATTATTAGTTACCTAAACCATAAGGGTTATTTTATTTTTTTCATCATCATATGGGTTTTGCCAGTCGCCTTGTATCTAGAATGAAGTGGTTTAAATATTATAAGGTTGGATTATATAAAACATTAGTGCTAAATAAGGGGATTTCTATGTAAATAATAACTTCTATATGTTTATATCAAGAAACATATAGGTAACAATGATATTGAAAACTTAAAGACAAACATTACATCCTGTTTCACAGATTCATTCATAGACTTCAATGTTTCACGAATTCATTCATAGACTTCAATGTTTCACAGATTCATTCATAGACTTCAATGTTTCACAGATTCATTCATATACTTCAATGTTTCACGAATTCATTCATAGACTTCAATGTTTCACGAATTCATTCATAGACTTCAATGTTTCACGGATTCATTCATAGACTTCAATGTTTCACGAATTCATTCATAGACTTCAATGTTTCACGAATTCATTCATAGACTTCAATGTTTCACGGATTCATTCATAGACTTCAATTCACAATTACTTTTCAATAGTTTTTCCCATTTTATCGTCTTTGACAGAGCTTCTCTATGTCCCTTCTTTCTTATGAAAGGTAACCGAAAGTGGAAACCTTTGTACCCAGGCCTCCATGACCTGTTCCAAGGTTGTGCATTCATCGTCTGTTTGTTGATCATTCCGGAACGTGTCTTTTCGTATTTTGACTTCGTGCGTCTTTATATCAACTGAAAGCAAATGCCATACTGAAATCTAAATTACAATCTCCAAAGAAGTAGAAATTATCTTTATATAAGTTAATTTATTTTGCAAATGTGTAAGGAATGGTTTCAGGTGCATGTAAAAACTATTTAAGTTCAAAAACAAAATCTCATTGTTATTTTGAAAAGAGGACAAACAACTTGATTTTAAAACTTTAACCACAATAAATTTTCTTATTACCATAACTTCAAAGCAATTTTTTGCTTTATATTTTCAAAAGACTTTCTAAACAAATGTTTCTTTATTTCAATATATTCATGAAATAATTACCTTTAAAAGACAAAAGAATCTTTTGTTTGACCTCGTCCATGTTTTTCAGATATCCAAGAGATAGAGTGATAGGTTTACAACCATCTTCTGAAGGTTCCTTATGAAAAGTAAATTCTATTTCTACTACCTCATCTGTAAAGAAAGCAATGTTATCCCAAATACTTTCCAATTTCCAGTCTGGCTGAGGTGCCTTTAGTTCTAAATGTTTGTTAACATAATCATATAAGCTACAAATAGAGACATATTCTGTTCTCGAGCTCCAATAGGAATAACAATGGTTGCAGTCCTTGGTACATTCTCTCTCTTCTGATCTAGCTTTCAATCCATGAATGACATACTTTGTAAATAAGCTGCCTTCTTTGTTTAGAACCGCCTTTTTATCCTCACTGCATGCGTTTATCTGAACGAATTTTCTTTTTTCAAATGTAAGCTTTGGAGGAAAACAGCGATCGAGGAAAATAATTAATCGGTCAATTTTGTGCAATTTGTTTAGTTCATTTTGAAACTCATCCAATGATATATACTCTGATTTTTTCCCAAGTTCAAACATATTTTTATCAGCAGAACTTCCACCATGACACGAAAAGTATATCAATAATGTATTGATCTCCTCATCTTCACTGAATTTCTCAATATGCTTTTTAATTGTTGGCCATATTGGTGATTCTTCTGTAACACCCGGTACAACTGTCTTCACTTTGTCTTTGCTATAGGAAACGAATTTCAAAGTAATTAACTAAATTCAAACAATAAAAAATGATAACACATAATTATCCGTATTTTTTGTCTGACTTTTATGTATCATTGAAATTCATTTAAGTATACCATTGGTGTTGTTATAAAGTTAACTAGAACTATCACTAAATGTGATAATGACCCCCACAAGACTGCTTCGGAAATGAGAAAGATACTAGTAACAGAATACCTTGAAATGAAATAGATTTATGGTTGTGGACAATTAAAGATAGTTTTGGTTCTTGTATGTTGCATTTTCTTTCAATGTGGTTGACCATTGATGAAGTTTTATTGAATTTTTGTAATAAATCCAGAAAGAGTTACAATTCTTGAGCACTGCACTTCCTCTCATTGCACTTCGCCATTGTATGAAGTTGTATTGAATTCCAACTACTAGTTTTAAAGTTATGCACTGGACAAAAAAAAGTAACAAAGGACAATAACTGTAATTAGTCCAAATAGAGTTATGGTTCTTGTACATTGCACTGCATCTCACTGCCCTTGACCATTGTATGAAGTTTCATTGAATTCCAGCCATTAATTTTCAAGATATGCACTGGACAATAAAAAGGAACAAAGGGCAAAAACCCTTGAATGATTCAAGAAAGAGTTATGGTTTCTGTGCACTGCTCTTCCTCTCAATATACTTGACCATTGAATGAAATTGTATTGAATTCCAACTAGTGGTTTTCCAGTTATGCTCTGGACAAGAAAAAAGCAATGAAATGTAACAAAGGGCAATAACTTTATGATTACTCTGGACAGAGTTATGGTTCCTGTGTACTGCACTTTTATGAAGTTGTTTTGAATTTCAATGTTTACTTTTCAAGTTATGCTCCAGACAAGGAAAAAGGAAAGGGCAATAACTCCGTAATTTGTCAAAATGGAGTTATGGTTCTTGTGCACTGCTCTTCCTCTTGATGTGCTTGGCCATTGTATGAAGTTATCTTGAATTTCAAACATTAGTCTTCAAGTTATGGTCCGGACAAAAAACAATGGAAAGAAACAAAGGGCAATAACTCTGTAATTTGTGAAAAATTGAGTTATGGTTCTTGTGCACTACACTTTCTCTCAATGTGCTTGACCATTTCTATGAAGTTGTATTGAATTCCTACCATAAGTCTTCAACTTATGGTTCGGACAAAAGAAAGCAATTGAAAAGTAACAAAGGGCAATAACTCTGTAATTACTTTAGATAGAGATATGGTTCTTGTACGCTGCACTTCCCCTTTTTGTGTTTGACCATTGTATGAAGTAGTTTTGAATACCAACCTGTAGTTTTCAAGATATGCTCCGGACAAGGAAAAGTAACAAGGGGAAATAACTCTGTAATTAGTGAAGATGGAGTTATGGTTATTGTGCACTGCACTTCCTCTCAATGTGCTTGACCATTGTATGAAGTTGTATTGAATTCCAACCATTAGTCATCAAGTTATGCTCGGGACAAAGAAAATGCAAGGTACCTTATACCCATAATGCGTGGTGCCAATGAGGTAACCACTCTCTCCAACTCTAGTATTTCCTTTTTCATGGCATCTGCTTTCTCTTGACTTTCATCATCACCAGCAACCAATAATGCTCCCCATTTATTGCCTTGATAAAGAAAAATAGAGTTAATCACTTGGCATGTTTAACCACTTTTGTACTATCAAAGTATTGAAAGTGTGTAAATAATATATGTGCTGTTTGCAAGTTTTTAGACTAGACCACATCTACTAAAATATAGAAAATTTCCGACTTCTAGTTTTGAATCTATGTGCAATCACATCCACAGGTGTTCAGGGCGTTGATTGGTCACTACCCCCGGGCCAACTTCCCACTCCCCCCTTCACCCACTCTACAACCCTCCTACCTCTAAAAACCATGTAAACTGCAGTATTTTTCATTTTAAACATGTTTTAATATTTGGTATATGCTTTTAATTCAATTACTCTCATCTGTTCAATGAAAACATCATATAAAACTAAAACGAACCGTTTTAATGATTTGTTAAATTCTCCATCCAAAATGAAAGTACACATGTATAAACGGATGTATTCGTATGGAGTATTTTCATTGGTTGTGTGAAAATCTTAGACCAATGAAAATACTACATACAAAAAATAAAGTGGAGAGCACTCTGCAGAACAATTACTTGCATTTAGATTTGGAATTTGAAATATCGGAAAACAGTTTATTATAGTTTTATATGACGTTTTGATGGAACAGTTATTACAAATAATGATATTATGTGATCATATTTATATGCGCAATACAAAAAAATATTCATTCATTTTGAATAAACTGCCGTTTAGTCGGGTAATTTTGACAACAAGAGCGATCAGTGATCACATGTGTCGCCTCATGATGGCCAATTTCATGTTGAGACAAGTTTTGTGACAGACGGACAGTGCACAACTAGACTGATTATTCCTGTAAAGTTTGGATAAAATTGCACCAGTAGTTTATGAGGAGTAGTCCGGACAAGCTTTTGTGTATCTGGCAACACAAAGAAAAAACACCTTTTTATCAAAGGGCCATAACTCGGCCAAAAATCATTCAACCGGAAAACCCGTGCAATATGCGCAAAAACTTGAGCTACAGATCAATCCTGTAATGTTTCATTGAAATTGCATTAGTGGTATAAGAGAAGTAGTCCGGACATACTTTAACAAGAGGGCCATGATGGCCCTGAGGTCGCTCACCTGTATATAGCCCCCCTCCCCCCCGGGCCAATTTTTACCCAAGGGCTTTTATTTGTTTATTTGAACAGACTTGGTAGACACCCATAAGAAGATGTTTCAATTGCTAAACATCTAAGTTCTAGCTCATTGGGTTTTTTAAAAGAAGATTTTTTAAGTTTTTGCTATACACATATAAGGAAAATCAATGACCCCCGGGCGGGACCAGCTTTGACCCCAGGGCTTTTATTTGAACAAACTTGGTAGACACCCATTAGAACATGTTTCATGCTAAATATCTTAGCTCTAGCTCTTTGGGTTCTTTAAAAGAAGATTTTTTAAGTTTTTACTATATGCATATAGGGAAAATCAATGACCCCCTAGGGCGGGGCCAATTTTGACCCTAGGGCTTTTATTTGAACAAACTTGGTAGACATTCACTAGAAGATGTTTCATGCCAAATATCTAGGCTCTAGCTCTAACAGTTCTTTAAAAGAAGAATTTTATATGCATTTAGGGAAAATCTATGACCCACAGGGCGGGGCCAATTTTGACCCCAGGGCTTTTATTTGAACAAACTTGGTAGACACTCACTAGAAGATGTTTCATGCCAAATATCTAAGCTCTAGCTCTTACGGTTCTTTAAAAGAAGATTTTTTAAATTTTTACTATATGCATATAGGGAAAATCAATGACCCCCTGGGGCGGGGCCAATTTTGACCCCAGGGCTTTTATTTGAACAAACTTGGTAGACACTCATTAGAAGATGTTTCATGCCAAATATCTAAGCTCTAGCTCTTTGGGTTGTTTAAAAGAAGATATTTAAAGATTTTTCTTTTGGTTGCCATGGCAACCAGAGTTCTGCATGGAATTAAATTCTTTGAACAATTCTTAAAGGTGACCACCAAAGGAACATTCCTGTGAAGTTTGGATGAAATTGGCTCAGTGGTTTATGAGGAAATGTCGTTTAAAGCAAAAGTTTACGGACGGACGACGGACGGACGGACGCCGGACGAAAAGCGATCACAAAAGCTCACCCTGTCACTTTGTGACAGGTGAGCTAAAAATAAAAAATATTAAAGGACCATAACTCTGACAAAAATCATTGAACACAAAAATGCTGACAATATGCACAACTGAACTTGGTACTGATCATTCCTGTAAAGTTTGGATGAAATTGCACCTGTAGTTTATGAGGAGTTGTCCGGACAAGCTTTTGTGTATCTGGCAACACACAGAAAAAACACCTTTTTATCAAAGGGCCATAACTCGGCCAAAAATCATTCAACCGGAAAACCCGTGCAATATGCGCAAGAACTTGAGCTACAGATCAATCCTGTAATGTTTCATTGAAATTGCATTAGTGGTATAAGAGAAGTAGTCCAAACAAACTTTAAAAATAAAAATTACTAAAGGACCATAACTCTGACAAAAATCATTGAACACAAAAAATGCTGACAATATGCACAACTGAACTTGGTACTGATCATTCCTGTAAAGTTTGGATGAATTGCACTGTAGTTTATGAGGAGTAGTCCGGACAAGCTTTGTGTATCTGGCAACACACAGAAAAAACACCTTTTTATCAAAGGGCCATAACTCGGCCAAAAATCATTCAACGGAACACCCCGTGCAATATGCGCAAGGACTTGAGCTACCAGATCAATCCTGTAATGTTTCATTGAAATTGCATTAGTGGTATAAGAGAAGTAGTCCAAACAAACTTTAAAAATAAAAATTACTAAAGGACCATAACTCTGACAAAAATCATTGAACACAAAAATGCTGACAATATGCATAACTGAACTTGGTACTGATCATTCCTGTAAAGTTTGGATGAAATTGCACCTGTAGTTTATGAGGAGTAGTCCGGACAAACTTTTGTGTATCTGGCCAACACAAAGAAAAAAACACCTTTTTTTCAAAGGGCCATAACCCCGCCAAAAATCATTCAAACCGGAAAACCCGTGCTATATGCCCAAGGACTTGAGCTACAGATTGCAATCCTGAAAAGTTTCATTAAAATTGCATTAGTGGTATAAGAGAAGTAGTCTGGACAAACTTTAAAAATAAAAATTATTAAAGGGCCATAACTCTGACAAAATCATTGAACCGGAAAATGCTGACAATATGCACAACTAGGCTTGGTACTGATCATTCCTGTAAAGTTTGGATGAAATTGCACCAGTAGTTAATGAGGAGTAGTCCGGACAAGTTTTGTGACGGACGGACAGACTGATAGACGACTGAGAAGTGATCCCTATATGTCGCCATTACACCGTAGAGGCGACACAAAACCACAGCGGTCAGGTCTCTGTCGAGTTACACTTGCAGTGAATTCGAGATAACATATCTTCTTAAAACAGCTTAAATTCCTTTAAGAGTAATCAATTCCCTACCATTTGGTACCAAGATATTGAAAAATGGTAAAAAAATGTTGGAGTTATGGAGTTCATATTAAGATGAGTGCTGAAAAATGAGCGGCGATTTGCCTTTACTAAATTCATATATATATATATCATTTTCTAATTTTTTGTGGGAGATGAAGGTAATCGAATTAAAAGCATATACCAAATATTAAAACATGTTTAAAATGAAAAATACTGCAGTTTACATGGTTTTTAAAGGTGGGGGGGGGGCAGTTGGCCCACGGGTAGTGACCAATCAACGTGCAGAACACCTGTGATCACTTTTAAATGTTTCAAACACTATCATAGTCTTAAAACGGGAGCAAATGTAAGGAATATTTACCAACACTATTGATGTACCTGTTCAGTAGATATAAACTTCTTTCACTTATGTTAGATAAATAAATAGATTTCCGATTTTAATATGACTGTAATATGTATGTTACAATACCTATCTTGGATGAGAGCCTTGCACTGCAATAACAGATTACTGGGTTGAGAAAATTGTTTTTCTCGCAAGCCATGCATACTCTTATCTTTTTACGACAGTTGTCATAATCTTCAGTCAACGAAGAATTTTCAGCTGAAATTGCAACCATATTATGTGCGTGCATTGAACTAGATTATAAATGCAACAGGTACTCTCCAAATATGCATTTGTTATATAATATGATCAAATACTTAAACCCATTCTCAAAAAAAAAATATTCAATCAAAATATATGTTTAATTTTCGCATAGTTGAGGCTCATTATTTCAAAGTATTATACTGGATTTAAACAGGGCAGTTTCATAAAAACATGTTTACCAATTGTAAAACTTCCACCATTGAACTTATGTATAACAACAACATGATACTGTAGTCTTGTAATATTATCAGAATAAATTCTTCATATATTTTCTTATACTTAATTGATAACAAATTACCTATTGGATTGATGATGCATTGATGACAGTTAATTTCCTCATTGTTTTTAAATATCTCACAAACGATTGTCCTTTCCATTATGTCCTGAAATGAATGTAAACATCATGACTACATAATCTTAAGATAAAATATGTTAAAGTATTATTAAATATACAGAAAGTCTTGTGATATAATTTCAACACATTCAACATTTCAACACATTCATTTAAATTTAAAGACTTCATGCTGTATGATTTAAGACATTTACTTATAATAAAAATAAATGTCCCTGATTCTTGAAAATGTAAACTATCACCTCTAAAATGCACAAAAGCTCAATATTAATATAAACATGCCGAGGACCTAATTTTTACAGATATATAATCTGAAGGTTGCCTTTCATGACATTCAACCTTTACAAACACATCTTTTGTCAAGTGTTATACATACTCGTAATTCATCAATCACATTTGCTTTGAAATCTTCAATAGTCCATGGACTTATCAAGCAATTGATGGGTAAGTCAGTTAGGTCTTGATTGCCTCCCTTATATTTCCAAACCTCTGTCTGCAATTGATAATGATTAACTTATATCAATGATACATAAATTATATATGTTTAATATACATATTTCAACTTAAAGGAGAATTGTGTCCATAGGACACGGATGCCCCCACACCCCACTTTTCTGTCAATTTTATGACTCTATGTCAAATATTTTTTGGACTACATGTGCCACAAGTTGAAAACTAAAAATCAACAAAGGGCCATAATTTTGTTAAATTTAGTTGCAGCAAAAATTCCTTCCTTAACTACCATCTACACATTAAGGTTGTTTATTTTTGGAAGTTTAAGCAAAATCTGCCATCCTGTTTAAGAGGAGATGCGTTCACAAAATTTCAATATAGTATATAGTGAAAAAATCAACAAAGGGCCATCATTCTATTAAATTTGGTCGCAGCAAAAATTCCTTCCTTTACTATCATCTAAACATTAAGGTTGTTCATCCCTGGAAGTTTAAGCAAGATCTGCCATCCGGTTTAAGAGGAGTTGCGTTCACAAAATTGCTATATAGTATATAGTGAAAAAATCAACAAAGGGCCATAATTCTGTTAAATTTGGTCGCAGGGAAAATTCCTTCCTTTACTACCATCTACACATTAAGGTTGTTCATCCCTGCAAGTTTAAGCAAAATCTGCCATCCGGTTTAAGAGGAGTTGCGTTCACAAGATTTCGGGACGTACAGACGTGCGGATGGACGGACGGACAAGTGCAACGCTATATGCTCCCACTTTGTGGAGGCATAAAAACACAAATGACTATTCGGACAGGTAAAAGAATAGAAAATAAACTCAACAATACATGTATAGAAAGATACAGAATAAAAATGGCAAAATTTAAAATGTCAGCCATTTAAACGCCAATTTTCTAAAGTAAGGACTGGCATGTAAATACATGAAACTGCCAGCTTCTTCTCTAATTTAAATGTTGTTTTAGTACTCGGGCATACTAATACAGTACTGTACTTAATCAAGAGAACTTATGTGTTTTAATATGATTCATAATAGAAATCCAAGTCCCGCGTTCTTGAAAATGTAAACAAGAGGGATATGATATCCCTCAAACCGCTCACCTGAATATAAAACACTCCATGACAAGGAACAATAGCAATATTGTAAATGATAAACAAGAGGGCCCAGAATCCCTGGATCGCTCTCCTCAAGTATAGGTCAAAAAGTCAAAGTAGAGCCCCTTTTCGCCTCAGAAGCACAATTTGAAACAAGGGACAGCTTAATCTTAACAATTTTTGTAAACTGTCACCATTAAAATTTTTGTATAAAATTATTTCAAAATTGAACTAGAACTGCCACTGTCATGGTGTGAATTCCCCCGCATACCACTTTGTCAGAATCAACAGTGGCCATTTAGAGCTCAAGGACAATGTCCCTGCCAAATCTGAGCCAGTGCATTCTAAGTTATGTATTCTACATACTTCAAATGTGAAAATGTCAAAATCAATACACTGTGGACAGGCATTCTTAAGCAATTGAGGGGAAATTTTTTTTGTTGACCTTTGACCCAGTACCCTCAAAATCAAAAGGGGTAATCATGACTAACCTCCATGCCAAATATGAAGACTGTGGGTCAAAGGAATCTTAAGTAATTGGATGGACAAGCGTTTTATAGTCAAGGCCCCTGTGACCTTGACCTTTGATCCAGTGTCCAAAAAAATCAATAGAGGTCATCTACTAATCATGACTAACCTCCATGTCAAATATGAAGACTGTGTGTCAAAGGTTTCTTAATTTATTGGGCTGACAAACTTTTTAAAGTCAAAGTCTCTGTGACCTTGACCTTTGACCTGGTGACCTCAAAATCAATAGGGGTCATCTACTAATCATGACTAGCCTACATGCCAAATATGAAGACTATGGGTCAAAGGAATCTTAAGTTATTGGCCAGACAAGCTTTTTGAATTCAAGGCTGCTGTGACTTTGACCTGGTGACCTCAAAATCAAAAGGGGTCATCTACTCAACATGACTAACCTCCATGCCAAATATGATGACTGTGGGTCAAAGGAATCTTAAGTTATTGGGCGGACAAGCTTTTTGAAGTCAAGGCCGCTGTAACCTTGACCTTTGATCTGGTGACCTCAAAATCAATAGGGGTCATCTACTCGTCATGACTAACCTCCATGCTAAATATGATGACTGTGGGTCAAAGGAATCTTAAGTTATTGGGCGGACAAGCTTTTTAAAGTCAAGGCCCCTGTTACCTTGACCTTGACCTTGTGGACCTCAAAATCAATAGGGGTCATTTTAAATTGACATAACTAACCTGCATGCA